CCCCTTGTGCTCCTGCACCTCCAGCCCCTTGTGCTCCTGCATCTCCAGCCCCTTGTGCTCCTGCATCTCCAGCCTCCTTCTCGCTCTCCACATCCTCTCCTCGCTCTCCAGACCCTCTCCTTGCTCTCCAGGATGGACCCATTTATCACCCTCTTCCACCCAAACAGGTGTTCCTCCACCTTCCAGGACCAGCATCCCAGTTGGAGAGGAACCCCCCTGGTTCCAGGCCATGGCTGCAGTGTCCCCCTGGGCTCTAACCCTTGTTGTTCACTTACAGACATTGTCAACACAGCCCGTCCCGACGAGAAGGCCATCATGACCTACGTGTCCAGCTTCTACCACGCCTTCTCGGGGGCCCAGAAGGTACCGGGGGTGCCTGTCCCCCCATCTCAGAGCCCCGGGCCTGCCTGCAGCTCCTGCTCACTGCTCTTCTCTTCCAGATGCTGCTGTGTCTCTCCTGGGCTGGGCAGCCCCACCCCAGCTCCCTCACGGGGTCCTCACGCTGCTCAAATCCCCCCCAGGCCCTGCCTGGGAGGGGCAGAGACCCCCATGCAAGGGGGGCAGCTTGTGCAGGGGCTCAGACCCAGCATTTGGGTTGGGAGAGGCCTTTAAGGTCATCGAGTCCAACCTTAAGACAACTCTACCCACCCTTAACCTAGTCTTCCAAACCTTAACCCAGCTCTACCTGCCCTTAACCCAGCTCTCCTGCACCTCCAGCCCCTTGTGCTCCTGCATCTCCAGCCCCTTGTGCTCCTGCATCTCCAGCCCCTTGTGCTCCTGCATCTCCAGCCCCTTGTGCTCCTGCATCTCCATCTCCTCGCTCTCCAGACCCTCTCCTTGCTCTCCAGGATGGACCCATTTATCACCCTCTTCCACCCAAACAGGTGTTCCTCCACCTTCCAGGACCAGCATCCCAGTTGGAGAGGAACCCCCCTGGTTCCAGGCCATGGCTGCAGTGTCCCCCTGGGCTCTAACCCTTGTTGTTCACTTACAGACATTGTCAACACAGCCCGTCCCGACGAGAAGGCCATCATGACCTACGTGTCCAGCTTCTACCACGCCTTCTCGGGGGCCCAGAAGGTACCGGGGGTGCCTGTCCCCCCATCTCAGAGCCCCGGGCCTGCCTGCAGCTCCTGCTCACTGCTCTTCTCTTCCAGATGCTGCTGTGTCTCTCCTGGGCTGGGCAGCCCCACCCCAGCTCCCTCACGGGGTCCTCACGCTGCTCAAATCCCCCCCAGGCCCTGCCTGGGAGGGGCAGAGACCCCCATGCAAGGGGGGCAGCTTGTGCAGGGGCTCAGACCCAGCATTTGGGTTGGGAGAGGCCTTTAAGGTCATCGAGTCCAACCTTAAGACAACTCTACCCACCCTTAACCTAGTCTTCCAAACCTTAACCCAGCTCTACCTGCCCTTAACCCAGCTCTCCTGCACCTCCAGCCCCTTGTGCTCCTGCATCTCCAGCCCCTTGTGCTCCTGCATCTCCAGCCCCTTCTCCTCCTCCATCCCCACCTCCTTCCCCACCTCCACTGTCCATCTCTCCCCTCCCTCCATCCCTCAGATCTCAACATTTCCCAACAGAACTTCAACCAACTTCTTTTTTGGGCAAAAGCAGCAAGCCCCCCCCGTGAGGCAGCTGGGGTTGTGCCCCCAACCCCCCAGCTGGGCTTGTCCCCCCCTCTGCATGCCCTGGGGGGGCTCTGGGGGCTGGAGCTTCACCCCCTCTCCCCCTCTTTCTGGCAGACATCGTGGGCACCCTCCGTCCCGATGAGAAGGCCATCATGACCTACGTCTCCTGCTTCTACCACGCTTTCTCTGGGGCTCAGAAGGTGAGGTGGGAGGTGGAGGGGACCTTCCTGCTTGGTGCCCACCCCCCCCTTTCCAGCTCACCCCACGCTTGGGCTTCTCCTGAGGGTCTTTCTGCTTCTGGGAGCAGGGAAACGGGCTCTGCTGGGCTTGGGAACGGTGCTGGGAGCAGAGTTGGGCTGGTGGAACCATCTGGGCTTTAGGGACCATCTGAGGGCAGGATGGTCCCAGGTCTGGGGGGACTTCAGGTCCTGTGGAACCCCCCTCTGTGGGATCCAGGCTGGGAGAGCCTGAGGAACAGCTGGAATTGGCCTCATCCCCAGGGATTTGGGAGAACTGGGGGAGCTAGTGGTTCCTCCCACCCACATGGGGCATCTCGTTAGGGAGAGACTCATTAGGGCAGCGCTGGGAGCAGAGGTTGAGGGTCCCTGGGGGGCTCCTGCCCCTCCTGCTCACCCTCCTGTCCTTTCTGTCCCCAGCCCCACACAGGAGACCCCAGAACCTTCCATGAGACTCCAAACATCACACGCGAGACCCCAAACCCCTCATGAAAACTCAGACATCACACAGGAGACACCAGACCCCACACATGAGACCCCCAACCCCACACATAGAATCACAGAATGTTGGGGTTGGAAAGGAGCTCTGAAGGTCACTGAGTCCAACCTGCCAGAGCAGGACCAAAACCAGGGCAGGTCACTCAGAAAGGCATCCAGGTGGGTCTTGGAAGCCTCCAGAGCAGGAGCCTCCACAGCCTCTCTGGGCAGCCTGGCCCAGGGCTCTGCCACCCTCTCAGGACACAAGTTCTTCCTCATGTTGAGGTGGAACTTCCTGGGCTCCAGTTTGAATCCATTGCCCCTGGTCCTGTCCCAGGGCACAGGTGACAGGAGCTTGTCCTGCCTTCTTGCTGCCCTCATGTATTGACAGACATTCATTAGATCCCCCTCAGTCTTCTCCTCTCCAGACTGAAGCCCAGAACTGGACACAACACTCCAAGTGAGGTCTCACCAGGGCTGAGTACACAGGGAGGAGAACCTCCCTTGATCTGCTGGACACACTCCTCCTGAGGCACCCCAAGATACCCTTGGCCTTCTTGGCCACCAGGGCACATTGGTGTCCCATGGATCACTTGCTGTCTACCAGGACTCCAAGGTCCTTCTCCACAGAGCTGCTCTCTAGCAGATCAGCTCGTGGCCTGTCCTGATGCATTTTGTTGTTCCTTCCCAGCTGCAGGACTCTGCACTTTTTATTGTTGAACCTCATGAGGTTCCTCCTTGCCCAGCTCTCCAGCCTGTCCAGGTCTCCCTGAGTGGCTTCAGGGCCTCCAGGTGGAGCAGCCAATCCTCCCAGCTTGGTGTCATCAGCAAACCTGCTGAGAAGACACTGTCCAAGGTCATTGGTAAAGATGTTGAACAGGACCCAGCACTGATCCCTGAGGGACCCCACTGGTCACAGGTCTCCAGCTGGACTCTGCACCACTGACCAGCACTCCCTGGGCTCTGTTGTGCAGCCAGTTCTTCATCCATCTCACTGGCCATTCTTTCACACCCTGAGCTTGCTCACGGGGATGTTATGGGAGACTGAGTCAAAAGCCCTGCCAGGGTCACGGGAGACACACCCACTGGTGTCCCTGCATCTCTCCATGCAGTCACACCATCCCAGAAGGCCATCAGATGGGTCAAGCATGATTTCCCTCAGTTCCAGAAGGACAGGGAACTGCTTGACAGAGTCCAGGGCAGAGCCTGAAAGATGCTGAAGGGAGGGGAACATCTCCCTGCTGAGGAAAGGCTGAGGGAGCTGGGGCTGTTGGGCTTGGAGAAGAGGAGACTGAGGGGCCACCTCATCCATGGGCACAAATCTGTTCAGGGCAGTGTCAGGAGGACAGAGCCAGGCTTTGTGCAGTGATGTCCAGTGACAGGACAAGGGGCAGTGGGTGCAAACTGGAGCACAGGAGGTTCCATGTGAATATCAGAAAAAGATTCTTCTCTGTGAGGGTGGCAGAGCCCTGGGCCAGGCTGCCCAGAGAGGCTGTGGAGGCTCCTTCTCTGGAGACATTCCAACCCCCCTGGCCACGTTCCTGTGTGATGTGCTCTGGTTGCCCCTGCCCTGGCAGGGGGGTTGGGCTGGGTGATCTTTCCAGGTCCCTTCCAGCCCCCAGGATTCTGTGTGATGCTGTGGAATCCACACTGACTGCTCCTGATAAACCTTCTTCTCTTCCATGTGCTTAGAGGCCTCTAAAATGAGCTGCTCCGTCATTTTTCCAGGAATGGAGGGGAGGCCTCCTGGGCTGTCATTTCCTGGATCTTCTTGCCCTTTCTGAAGGCTGGGGTGACACTGGGCTTCCCCAGCCCTCAGGCACCTCTCCTGTTGGGCAGAATCTTGCAGAAGAAGGGCAGTAACATCACCCAGCTCTCAGCACTCCTGGGGGCATCTGGGCAGGGCTGGTGCACGTTCCATTCCCATCACTGCTCTGACCCACGCTGGCCAGGGGGGACTCTTCCCTCCTCCAGGCTTCCCTTCCTGCATCCATGAAACTCATACAGGCAGGTCTGAGCACAGACTGGAGCAAAGGCAACATCCAGCTCCTCTGCCTTCCCTGCGGCCCCAGGACCCACCTCACTCAGCAGGTCCACATTGTCCCTGTTCTTTCTTCCAGTGCTGATACATTTGAAGAAGCTCTTCCTGTTCTCCTTTGCTTCCTTGGCCAGTTAGAAGTTCTCAGAGGGCTTTGGCTTTTCTTGTTGCCTTCCTACATACTCTGACAATGTCCCTGTAGTTCTCCTGAGTTTTCCCAAGTCCCTTCTTCCACAAACTACGTTTCTTTCTTCAGAAGGTCCTTGCTGATCCATGCAGGTCCTTCACCACCTCTGCCTGATGTTCTACTGGAAGGAATGCACCTCTCTTGGGCTTGGAGGAAATGGTATTTAAAAACTGAGCAGCTTTCCTGGGCTCCCTTCTCTCCCAGAGTTTTAGCCCCCAGGATTCCTACAAGTAGATCTTTGAGGAGTCCAGAGTTAGTCTTGCAGGAGTCCAGGGCTGCAATCCCACTTCCTGCCCTGCTTCTTCCTTGGAAAACACTGAGCCCCACCATGTGATGGTCACTGTCACCAAGGCTGTTCCCAACCTTGATGTCCCCAGCCAGACCTTCCTTATTGGTTAACACAAGGCCCAGCAGGGCTCCTCCACTGCCTGCATTAGAAAATGACCATCAATGCCCTGCAAGAACCTTTGGGCTGAACCTGTGAGGACTTTCCAGCAAATACCAGTGTGGTTGAAGTCACCCATAAGTTCTAGGGAGTGTGATCTACTTCCAGTTGACTGTTGAAGGCCTCGTCATCATCTTCTTGGGCTGGTGGTCTAGAGCACAACAGCTTCACCTCCAGTTGCATCTCCCCTCATTCAGACCCACAAGCTCTCAACCTGTAGAACTTGGTGCATTCCAGCTCCTCTGGTACATGAGCAGCTCCAGCACCTCACCCTGCTGCTCTGCCTCTCCCAAAGAGCTCATCCCCCCCCCCATGACACCCCCCCCAGCCACAGGAGCTGTCCCACCTTGCTCTGGTGATGGGGATCATGTCGTGGCCTTTTGGCCCAGCCTGGATCTCCAGCTCCTGCCTCCCCACGTGTGTTGGTGCAGAAACATCTCAGAGAAGGACTCAAGCAACTAGTTGTACTTTTGGTGTCTGACCATTCCCAGCCACTTCCCTGGTCACCCAGCCAGCCCTGTGTGGCTGTTGGCACCTTCGTTTCCATTCCCCACCTCAAGTGGGGCAGCACTTGAAGGACCATCCCAGGCTCATCTCTAGGAGCCCAGGTCAAAGCCCTTTCCAGGAGCCCCAGCAGCTCCTCTAAAGAGACCTTTTGCCCCTTGGAGACAGATGGATTCAGGAGACCCCAAACCCCACACATGAGACCTCAAACCCCACACAAGACCCCAAACCCCACACAAGATCCTAAACATCACCCATGAGACCCAAAATGCTGCACATTAGACCCAACCCCCCCCCACCTCAGACCCTGGACACACTTTGGGCCCAAACCAACACACATTAGACCCAAAACATCACTCATTAGACCCAAACCAACTCACATGAGGCCCCAAACAGCATCATTAGACCCAAACCAACACATATTAGACCCCACACATCACACATTAGGCCCAAAATGCTGCACGTTAGACCCAAACCAACACACATTAGGCCCAAACCATCATCATTAGCCCCAAACCACCACAAATTGGCCCCAACCCGCCCCCCACTGGACCCACGGGGCAGCTCCCCCCCCTGCCCAGCAGTCCCCAAAGGTTGGGGTTCACCTGGGCCTGTGTCCCCTCACCTGATGGGACCTTGGGGGGCTGCAGGTCCCAGCCTGGCCGGGGGGGGTTTGTCCTTGTCCCCCCCTTGTCATGCAGCTCCGGGGAGCAGCAGCAGGAGCAGGATCCCTTCCCCCCCATGGGTGTAACCCCCTTGCCCTGGTTTTTCTCTTATTTTTGTAACTTCTTTCCTTTCCCTCCATGGTCACTGGTTCTTCCTCTCCCCCATCCTTCCCTAGACCCTTCTCCATGTTTCTGGCTTTCAACTCCTCCTCTTGGACTCTTTTCTTTTCTTCCTCCTCCTCCTCCTCCTCCTCACCCTCCCGGGGCTGATTCCTCAGGGAAGAGCAGAAGATGGAAGGACGGTGCTTAGAGATGGGTAAAAAATTCCAGAGAGGAGCAGCTTGGGAGGGGGGAAAAGGGTTGATCCCCCTTCCTGCCTGGTCCTGAATCCAGCAAGGAAGGACAAATCCCGGGGTGTTGGTGGTGGTGGCACCAAGACACCGCTGGGGAGCCTCTTCTCTGCCTCTCTGGGCTGCTCCTGAGCCCCCCCAGCTGCAGCAGGATGGCTCTGGGTGGGATGGGGGTAGGATCAGAGCCCCCCAGGGCCCCTCCCCAGGGCTCTGAGCTGCTCTTCCCTCCAGGCTGAGACAGCAGCCAACAGGATCTGCAAGGTGCTGGCAGTCAACCAGGAGAACGAGCTGCTGATGGAGGACTATGAGAAGCTGGCCTCAGATGTGAGCCCAGGGCAGCCTCGGCCCCTGCCCCACCCCGCCCCTCCCTTAGCCCATCCCACCCCAACCCTCCCTTAGCCCACCCCATCCCACGTCACCTCATCCCATCCATCCCATCCCAATCCATCCCACCACCTCATCCCATCTCACCTCATCCCCATGCATCACATCCACCCTAACACATCCCACCCCATCCATCCCATCCCATCTCATCCCATCCCATCCTTAGCCCATCCCACCCCATCCCATCCCATCCCATC